GTTGCTACAACTTTTGTTTTGATATGTCCACGTTTTTATTATGTTTGTAAGCATGGAAATATAATTTTGAAAACAACTAGCCTGACATGCATCTTACTTCTTTCCTGGAAATTATTTCAGATTCTCATTCCTGTCTTACCAAAATGCCATTTCCACTAATTTTTTGCAGTGTTTTGGGCTGATCGGATTAGTTGAACGGAAACCTTTGAATGGGAGCTGGGAACATCCTTGGCTAACTCCCACTCATCTTTCTGGTTTCCACAGTTTTCCCCAGAATTTCCTTTCACCTCAACTCCCCACCAACCTGGCCAGCCACCCACTCACACTGGGATATATCCAGTTAAGGCTGGTTGAAAGTGTAATCTGATCATTCCATGACTGGTTCAGATTTTAGTGGGACTAAAGCATGAACAAAGCCACCCATCTGTGATTGTTCTTCACTGAAGAGGACTTGCTTTCCTGGCATGTTCCCCACAAAATTGTGCCAAATACAGCTGATTCCCATTGCAGATGGGAGTCTTACCTTCGGAACAATCAGGTTACACAGTAAAGCCTTCTCTCGCTTCTTCCACTGTTTTTGGAATTGAAAGCAACCCAGCTGTCTCTAAGAATAAAAAGGAAAACAAATATAAAAATAAACCACGCTTATATTGCAAGGATTAGGGGAAACTGACCACTTTTTAATATTAGAAATTTCAAACATATGGTGAACTAATTTATATTTTCATTTTGATACTTTCCTTCTCAGTGGAGGGCAATTAAGCCATATTTTAAGCCCATTCAAAGAGGCCTTATTCTGAAAATGTTGTAGAGATACCTATAGATAATGCTCACCAGCAATCAGCAGAGCTTAAGGATGCAGGAATGCCTAGTTATGCCCTTCATAAACCACCTGACCCAAGGGTCACTTGAGATAGGGACTTCCTCCATGAAAACTTAGGGCTCCTACTGTCCTCTCTGCCTCCCATCTCGCCCAACTTCAGGACATTTTCCACAGAGCTGGCAAAGGGATCTTCCTTTCATGCAGATTTGATCATGCCAGCCATCTGCTTGAAATAAATTTTCAATGACTCCATATGAGCCTCAGAATTAAGTCAAAACTCTAGTATTAGCACATGTTAACAAGTTTTATCTTGATCTGACTCTGCTCACTCCTTTTTACATCAGTCCTGGTCTCTCCTCCCTGTGTGCAACTGCCTGAGTCATATTAAGCCATGTTTCATCCCAAAATGTGCCTTTCCTTCTGTCACTGCCAGGCATTTGCACCACGGCCCACTCTGCCTTGAAAACGTCTTTCCCTCTTCTTCACCTGGCTCATGCCTTCCTTTTCATTTTAACTTCCAGTTTAGTTACAATCCAATGATTCTATTTTTGCCATGTTAAAATATGGCCAAAGATAATTTTATCTAAAACACAGAATACTATGCATGATTTTCAGTCTTACTGAACATATTTCATCTTGCACATTTGTCCTTGTTGCTCAGTGAAAACACATTAAAATTCTGCAACAGTCCAACCTTCATCTTGACTAAATTGCTGAAAACAATCTAACCATGAGTGGATGATTCTTTTCACGTATGATGGAATTTTTCACTAATGTGTCTACTTAACTGTAGCCACATCACATCCACATATCCTCTAGTCATGCCCTATCAGACTCCACCCCTGAAATAGCAGTCCCTTAAACTTGCATTGTTTTATTTTCATTTTTTATCCCATAATTGAATAAATTACAAATCTTAACTTCCTATTGAACAAAACAGAGTTATAATCTCAATTTTAGAGGAGGAGGTAATGGTGGCAGATGATATGAAAATATTGTGAGGCTCACCTAGCATTTCATAATGTTTTGGCACAGAAAAAAATAGAAGTCTCAATTTTGGATCCTGTTTTCAATTCAGAGGTCCTCCTGGTTTGGGAACTAACAGAAGAAAGAGAATTAATCCTTTGTCTTGCAAGCTAATGACCTTGAAGAAGGATGAGTTTCAGAGCAGTGGGCCCCAGACAGTCAGAAACCCTTCCCCACCCTATTGGCTAGCCATTCACTTACTTTGGAATATATCTAGTTACTGCTGGTGGAAACTATGTAATCTGATCCTTCCATGACTGATTCAGACTTCACTGGGTATAAAGTATGGGTACACAGTTCAGTTTATAGTCTGCCAGGACTTTGATCCCATTGAACTTGCTATGAGGACATCTTTTGGCTCACTCTACATTTTCATGTTCTCCTTAGTGGAATGTGACTTGCTTTTTGGTGGAATGTGACTTGCTTTTTGGTTGTTTTCTCCAGATCATTACACTTTTCCTTTGAGACTTGAATTTAATCTTAGTAAACTGATTGAATTTTATTTTTCTTTTAAGGAGAGCTCTTGTCATCACATCCTCCATCACTTTATAATTCCATATTGTTGTGCCTGTTATTCATGTTACTGATATGTTGGCCTCATTTTTCATTGCTATATTTTTCTTTGACATATTCAAATAAAATTAACTTTTATTGCTTTCTTAATTAGGGATATTTTTATATTAATTTATTGAAAGTCACTTGATATGGTTTGGATCTGTGTCCCCGCCCAAATCTCATGTCAAGCTGTAATCCCCAGTGTTGGAGGAGGGGCTTGGTGGGAGGTGTTTGGATCATGGGGGCAGTTTCTCATGAATGGTTTAGCACCATCCTCTTGGTGCTGTTCTTGTGTTACTGAATGAGTTCTCGTGAGATCTGGTTGTTTAAAAGTGTATAGTGTCTCCCCTCACCTCTCTTGCTCCTGTCATGTAAGATGCATCACTATCCCTTTGCCTTGCACCATGATTGGAAGCTTCCTGATGCCTCTCCAGAAACAGAAGCTACCAAGCTTCCTGTGCAGTCTGCAGAACCATGAGCCAATTGAATTGAAACTTTTTTTTATAAATTACCCAGTCTCATGTAGTTCTTTATGGAATGCAAGAATGTACTAATACACCACTTAAATCTAACAATTCCAACACTTTGCCAGCTTACTCCACTAGTAGACAAAAAATATAATAGATTGGGTCTTTCTCCCCCTTTAAAAGAAACTTTGATTTATAGAACTTAGAAAACCTGGGCAAAACCAGAGGAAGATGTCCTACTGTTTTTTGTTTGTTTGTTTGTTTTGTTTTTTTTCAGTGTCCTGGGAACAAAATGGTCCCTGCATGCTTGATGTAATGAATTAGACAACTAATTTAGGCATAGGCAGCATGGAGCAAGGCTCTGGAGGTGAGCAGGGCTCTACCACTTCAGAATGGAGTTACTTTCAGCAAGTTACATAACAGTGTGAGCTTCAGTATCTTTATTTGTCAGATATAATTGTTGGGAGCAGGAAATGAAATGACACCTAACATGGCACCTTATTAATCTTCCTCTCTAGTCCCTCCTCCCTTACCTTTTCCACAAATGTTTCAGCTAGAGTTAATGAGACCCAGGTGATAAAGCCACAGACACCATCCTTGCTCTCCAATTCCTCCAAAAAATAAAAATAACTGGAAGCAAGTGATTAACCCATGATCATTTTTAAATGTGGGTCATGTATGTAAGTAAATAGTATATGTAAATGATGAGGATTTGTTTGACCCAGGAATGCAGCTTTTATAGAAAATTACTGTGTAACTGGTTAATCTGGAATTGCCCCATATTTTTCCATTTTAATTACCAAATTGGGAATTGAATAGACTTCTGTCTATAATCATGAGAAACTCAAAAACAGGAAGATGCTACTTTCTCTTGTTCTTTGTTATTTAGTTCTACTGATAGCAGATTAGTCATCCTTAGGGAGGATGTTTTCCACTAAGAGGCAGACTTAGGAATGCATTGGCTCTTTTTACAAACAAGCTAACCAATGGAAATTCATTTTTGAGTTGATGAATCCTATAGCACACTCATTTTAATTGTGTTTATTTACTAGGATACTGCTTTGAATTATTTATTTTTCAACCTCTTTTTTGACATCATAAAGACATGACCGTCAGGACATTGAGGAGATCCAAGACTTAATTCTTACCATGGTACTTGAAATAAGTTTGATGAATTTCATAGATGAAAGACGGATAACTCCTCAACTAGAAATGTGGAATTTCAGAATTTCAAAGAGGCTTAATGATCTCTAGTCCAGTCACACATTTGAAGCTTAAATTTGCTCCAGTACGTCCCTGTCAACCTTCAGTGTCCTCCAGGTAGCTCTATTAAAAAGTTCTTCCTTATTTTAAACCCCACAGCCTTCACCTTGAGTCTAGATTCTATTATGGACATAAAAAGCAGTTCTGCTCAAACTTATGAAGGTACAGACTTCTTGAGGGCAGGGACTGTATTCACTACAGCTTCTGGTAACTTGAGAAATGATTACCAAATGAATGGAGTTAATAGCAGAAGGTATTCTCTATTTTGGGATATTATCTTACAGACAGCAAATGAACAGCATATTTAAGTTCCATTGAGAAAGCATCATATAAGAACTGATTTTATTGTTTAAATGCTATAGCTGATTTTTTCTTTCAATCATATACTTCAAGCACTTTTACCTGTTTATGTTACTATAGTATACCTTTACTATAAAATAATATATGTGGTGACTCTACAGCTATTAACTGTTGATCATTACATGTGCAGAGCATACTGTCTGCTACTTGAGGCAGAGAAGTTGAAACCCCACTGAAGTTATATATTAGAAGTCCTGGGCTGTAACCCCAGCTGCACCATTAACATCTGAGTAACCCTGGACAGGTCAGCCAGTCTCTTCAGTTCTTGATTCCTCATCTGCAAACTGCAAGGGTTGAACCAAATATTCTCTTCAACTTCTTTCCGCCTTCACAGACTGTTTCTGTTCTTTACTTGTCTGTCCCATGTGGTAGAGCATCATAGAGACAATCCAAGAATACAGACCTCAGATTTCCAGTTCAGTTCTCAAACTATAGTGTCAATAACTGTCTACCTATGTACATTGTTTAAAGCTAAGGCTGCTTTCCCCACCACCCTCTCTTTCCAGAATACTTTTCTTCAGGAGACAGTGCGTAGAGAATGTGAAGAACGCTTTGAACTGACAGAGGCTTTGAGTCAAGCCAGAGAACAGCTCCTGGAGCTCAGAAAGCTTTGTGGAAGTTTATCATTCTCACCGTGTTCCCTCAGCAAGGGCAGCCTAACCTCCCCTCCTGCAGCGGTCAGTAATCATGGAGAGGGAAGCCTTGCAAGACTGAACTCTGAAAAAGGAATCAAAATTCCCAGCCTTCACGGAGTATCAAAACCCACCTCTTTCCCAACCTCAGATAAGGCCAAGAGGGTTAGCAGCTCAGGCTTGCCCCTGCTCGCCCAGCCACATCCGCCCAGGGGTGGAGCATCTTCAGCAAATGAGACCAGACAGAGACAGAGACTGGCTGCCATTCTTAGGAGGAGGCGGAGTCAGCAATGATCCAAAGTGAGGGGCCGCTCCCCACACCGTACATGCTCTTTCAGAGTGCCAGGAACTCACTGTAACTGAGAATGACAAATATAAAATTATTTTCACAGATCAGGAAGGCATATCTGTAGATATATTTAACAAAAGACTGTAAAAAGCTGGAAAATTGTGAAGCCATATTTTTCAAGAGGGCTTTGAAAGAGTAACAGATCGTTTAGTTGTTGGTATTTCAGAGGTCCGATTTCTATATTTATGTTGCAATGTGCTCTATAAATATAGCCTTTTAGAGATCACAGATAAAATTTTTTCACCCATAACATCTTTTTTTATTTTTTGCACCACTACAAGCAGATATATTTGCAGAAAAAATAGATTGTTTGAGTTTTGTTGGTATGTGTTTGTTTGTTGAGCTGAATCGATTAAATAGATGTAATAAGTATTCCAAACAGAAAAAAAAGTACTTTATCTGATTAAGATTATAATTTCCAAAATGCCTACTTCAAGTAGTTGCAAAGCTCACCATCATAATCAAAAGCTTCTTTTCTTCACAATCTAATTGGTTAATCTGATTTCTCTTTAGGCTAGTTCAGAGTTAATAGATAACCTTTAGGAAGACAGTCTTCTCTCAGTGGCTGGGGAACTTCTAGAAAAAGAGATGGTAATGTCAATTCAAGGAAATTGTAGTATATTTCTCAAATTATATAGATTATTTTAGTAAACAAAGAACCTGACCATATTGATAGATATTTTCTACAATGAGTGCTTTTTGGTACGCAAAGTTAGGTCTTGATTTGAACCTGTATTCTTGAACCATTGGGAAAAGAACTAATTCAATACAGTTTAATAAAGTTATACAGAACTAATTTGGGATTCAAATTTGATTACACCTGAAAATGGGTAACTGGTTAACATGTTTTCTATTTTCAGAGTGAAAAAGTAAAACCAGAAGCCAGATCAGCTGTTTTATCTTAAACCTGTAGACACCTCCTGTTTCTTAAAACACAGCTCTTTACCTTAGTCTAGTGTTCATCTATGTTTTTATCCGTGTAATAGAAGTGTATTTTCCTTCAAAAGCTGACTTTACTTAAATACTCCATCTGACTGCATCATGAACATCAAGCCTTCCTATTCCCACATTAGAATAATAGTAACACATTTTAAATGTGCTACATAAAATTATCTGCTATTTAACCATCTTATTGATGGGAGAATTCAGAGGTATTTGAGATCCCTTCCATGTGCAAAAAATGTGATATTACTAAGCAAAATCAAATTTATTTCCAGTCTTTCAAAGGATTAGTCTACTCTATTAGTAGAGTATCTTAACCTCAAAAAAATTCCCCATTAGGTCCACTGATTTGCCTGACTAGTTTAAGTATGGCCTCTTGTGTTAAGAGTTGGAATGTTTACTTTTGTTTTGCAGAGATTGGCATCCCTTGTAATGGCTTTTGACAAGAAAGTACAACATCACTGAAGAATGGCACTGGTGGATCTTAGAAGTCACCCCATAATTTCACAGATAAGGAATAGATGCCCAAAGAGATTGTGACTTGGTAAAGGTAGTATAGCTAGTTAGTGACAACTAGAACCAGAACCACAATCACCTGACCCCAGCCTTTCCACCTCACCAGAGCTTCCCAGGCTCCATCATAACCTTTGTCAATAGCACCTACACTATATGTAGTTTGTATTTTTCCTTAAATGCACTTACTTTTTAACCTGAAATTTATGTAAAAAGCGAATTTGACTCAAAGAAAGGTAGCTATAATAAGTTTGATTTGCTGTTTTTTCTTTTACACTTTGAAATAAATGTGTATCTACTAAAATAAGAAATGTTGGCTGGGCATGGTGGCTCCACACTTGTAATCCCAGCACTTGGAAAGGCCAAGGTGGGAGAGCTGCATGAGCCCAAGAGTTAGAAATCAGATTGGGCAACATAGGAAGATCTTTTCGCTACAAAAGTAATAATAGTAATAATTAGCCAGGCGTGGTAGTGCTTGCCTGTAGTCCTTGCCACTTGGGAGGCTAAACTGAGAGGATCCCTTGAGCCCAGAATGTCAAGTTTGTAGTGAGCCATGATTGTACCACTGCCATCCAACCTGGGGAACAGAGTGAGACCCTGTCGCAAAACAACAACAACAACAACAAAGTGTTAGTTGGTGCACCCTCTAAAATCATCTTGTATAATGCCAACAGGGGACCACTGCATTGGACCTTAGGGTCTCTGATCTGTTGTTTGCATATTTAAATTACAAGTACTCATGACATAAGGAAAATGGCAAAATCTAGTGAAAACTTTAGTGAAAGCACAAGAGAATATTGTGTGTAACAGTCTTTGTCACAGGAGTACACATGCTTTTTACAATCTTGCAATTTCAGCTCATGGAGATACAGTGGGTCTATATCTTCAGAAACCATGGGGATAAAAGAGATTTCTTCATTTTTTCTAAATTATGAACATACTTAGATTTGTAAAGTCACACATAAGCTTTTCTAATGGTGATGTAGATTATTAGTGCAAAACCTGGTTTCTGTTTCCTGTTATATTTTTGCTTTATTAGAATGAGTAATTCTGTAAATAATCACTCTGAGAATAGAATCATGATCTGCAGTGAGGTTGTATTTACTCCACAAATATGTCAGATAAGTAATTCCATGATTAAACAGAAAGATCATATTAACATTTATTTCAGCCTAGACCATTTGAATGGTGCAGACTAAGCTATGTTGCCTTTAAAGGAAGACATCTTTAACAAAAAATTAGCATTATAAGATGTAACCTACAGGTTAGGAACACGTTAAAACTTCTCTTGATTTTATCACTGATAAGTAAGTTCCTGGCATAAGACGGTTATAAGGAATCTTAGGAAAGTAGTAAGGAGGATGAAAAATAAGGCTTCAAATACATATAATAGATATTTAGTCTAATACTTTTAATTTATCCATAGATTGATGTTTCCCATGACTTAATGGAAGGACTTACAAGTGTTAAAGAGAAAAGATATCAAAGAAAATATTCCTTAGAGAATTATAATCCTCTGATTTTCTTCTTAAACTGGTATTCATGGACAAAGATGGGAGACTTCTTCTAAATTAACATAGATTTCTCAAACAGTTTTAAAAACTCCTACTGAATTAAATTACTCTATTTGAAGTTGGTCAGAAGTACTTAAAAGTCACATTTCCTGGTAAGGGAATTGACTGGAAGAGACATTAGCACTGAAAATTATGTAAGACTAAGATCTTTTAATGTTCTGATAGTCTTAAAGTTTTTGTAATATTTAAAATTAATTCTTGCTAATTTCTTTGATTATGGAGCTAGCTTTCACAAGTTTTATCTTTCTAAATTCTTATGACTCTTACACTATTGCACTAATAGATCAACCTAGTATTCTAAAAGAGTTAACACACTACTGCTGAAAATGTTTAACCAATGCATTGCAGATCATGGAGCACTGGAAATCAATTTGGTAGGTGCTCAAAATTCACAAATCCTGTCGTGACTATAAACTTTTTCATTTCCAAGTTTTAGGAAAATAATGTACACTGTATCTTGCAAAGAACACCTTTAATGGTCCCCAAATCATGATAGACAATTATGATATCATTGCTGAGATGTTGTCAATGGTATTTTGAAGAAGAATTTGACTTTTCTGCTTGAAAATATTAACCCTGTATAATAACACGTTGTGAAGCCAGTACCATTGTGTTGCATTTTTAGAATAGTAAATATAAATTATATCATCTTTGTATATTATGAATTTTACATATAGAATTTTCTTAATAATATAATAGATGAATCTGGGATACACTGTCCTATGACAATACTTACCATGATCTAGTAAGTCAAGAGATTTCCCTCTGTTCCAACATTTATATAGCATAGTGCTTTATATTCTTTAAGTAAAAAAAATTTACTAAACTTCCCTTGCCTTATAAGAAACTATGTGAGAATAGCAAATCACAGCGATTAAGTAATTTGCCCAAAATAATAATAGATTAATAAATAATTTTAAATTTCTGCAGTTTCTGAATGTCTTGATCCATAGATTAATACTGAATCTGTATTATTCATTCACTCATTTCTTCAACATATATGAGGAACTGAAAAAATACTGTGAGAGCTACAAAAAGCATACTACAGATTCCCAAGAATTAAACAAGTAGAGGGCAGGGAGAAAGCATATATAGACATTAGAATATAGGGCAGAGAGTATTGGGTAAAAAGAGAGTTGAGAGCAAAGTATTATGTGAGTTCACCTTTTTGCTAGAAGAATCAGGGAATACTTTAAGCCAGAATTGGCATTTGCAATGGATCTTGAAGAATAGATAGGATTGATGGAAGAAGGTATACGAGGTAGAAGAAGAAATGCATAGAAAGAGTCACAAATTCTGTTTATGGGAAATGTAGAAAACATTTGGTGAAGGGAAGTAGCGGGAACCTGAAAAATGTAGGCTTACCTCATTGCATGAAAGTGTTGAAAAAGGACCGCCTTCAGGCTTTAAACTAGAAGTCACATGTTGTACATTGTTGACATCTGGGAACATTGCTCTGGCAGGGCTGTATTGGAGTAACTATGGAAAGGCTGGAGATGGAACACTAGTTGGTGGACTAGTACAGTACTTCAGGCAAGAGTTAATGAAATTCTGAATAAAAATATTGGTATGGGGATAAACAAGAGGCAACTGATTCAAATTCTATTCAGAGAAGGGAAAGGATTTGTTCCCTGTTAAATGCTATTTAAAACCACTACCATCCATTGCTACCTTAGCAGGGATGCGTTTTATGAGATTGGCTCCAATTAATGATCACCCCTATTTAAGAATATTACAGCTTCTCTGAAAAATGTGAAATAATAGAAACTACATTTTTATTTGGGCAACAAATAATTCCACAGACTCTGTATTTGTTTTTAAAATCTCCTTAAAGTTAAGGGAAAAATACTAATTTGAATAAATGTTCTAAGAATTATGGAGAAAGACTATGGAAATTGACATTAAAAAGAAATAACTATCTTGGCTCAAAGAATGCAAAGTACAACTAAATGGGAAGCTTTGGGAGTAACACAGCACAATAGAATTTCTTTTTATTTTCAATAATCATTTATGAGGGAAAATGAAGGCAGCAGCCAACATAAAAACCAGAGTTATCTTAAAAATCTATAATTTTTATAGTTCTGAAGGGCCTGGTGCATCACCTGGTCCAAACCTGTAATTTTACTGTAGACAATAGGGCCCTCAGATGTTAAATAATTTTTTATTCACATAACTGATTAACAGCTTACTTAATACGAGAACTTCGACCTTCAGCTTGTGGGCTACACATCTCATTTCTAGGCAGGAACCACAGTATCAGTGCTGTAACTTTTTGACATTTGAAGTGGTTCAGCAGAATCAGTGTCTACTGGGAGCTTGTTAGAAATGCAGAATATCAGGCCTCACACCCAAACTTAGTGACTAGAATCTGATTTTTAATAACATCCTTAGGTGATTCATATACTCACTGAAGTTTAAGAAACACTGTTTATGATGTTACCACTGGCCCTGGCATATTCCACATTTAAGAGCTATGCGTTAATAACAGAAATAGGCTTGCTATAATCAGTTCCCTTATGCCTAACTGAAACTGGTGGCACTCTGAGAGCCACCCCATAGAATGAACTATTTAACATTCTGACTCCTAGCACGTGCGAATTCTACTTCTTTACCCACTGATTGTGAGTCTATAACTCTCCAGGGAGAACTAGTGAATTAAAGAAAATCAATATTCATTCATAAAAACCTTAAATATCTTATACCAGCACCTGAAGCTGAGCCTGAAAAGAGCTTACTGTTTAAAAATAAATTCTTATTTTAAAAAATATCCAATAGAAAGATTTTGGTTTTGATCATAGGCAACTCATTGAATAATCCCTAAACTTTAATCTCCTAACAGCATGTATTTGGAGATCTGATTCCCAAAAGAAAATTGGT